CTTCTCCAAGCCTGTAGCGCTGCATGGGGTTGTTGTGACCCAAGTGCAGGACCCGGCACTTGGCCTTGATGAACCTCATACGACTGGCCTCGGCCCATCGATCCAGCCTGTCCAGATCCCTCTGTAGAGCCTTCCTACCCTCAAGCAGATCAACCCTGCCTCCCAACTGGGTGACATCTGCACACTTGCTGAGGGTGCACTCGATCCCCTCATCCAAATGATCAATAAAGAGATTAAACAGAACGGGGCCCAACACCGAGCCCTGAGGAACACCACTTGTGACCCACCGCCAACTGGATTTCACCCCATTCACCACAACCCTCTGGGCTCATCCATCCAGCCAGTTTTTCACCCAGTGAAGAGTACACTTGTCCAAGCCATGAGACGCCAGCTTCTCAAGGAGTATGCCATGAGAGACAGTGTCAGAGGCCTTGCTGTAGTCAAGGAAGATAACATCCACAGCCTTTCCCTCATCCACTAGGCGGGTCACCTGGTCATAGAAGGAGATCTGGTTGGTCAAGCAGGACCTGCCTTTCCTAAACCCATGCTGCCTGGGCCTGATCCCCTTCTTATCCTGGACTTGCCATGTGAGTGCTCTCAAAACAAACTGTTCCATAATCTTCCCCAGTACCAAGGTCGGGCTGACAGGCCTGTAGTTCCCCGGATCCTCCCTCCGACCCTTCTTGTAAATGGGCATCACGTTGGCAAGCCTCCAGTTCTCTGGGACCTCCCCTGTTGACCAGGATCGGTGATAGATGATGGAGAGTGGCTTGGCAAGGACCTCTGCCAGCTCCCTCAGTACTCTTGGATGGATCCCACCAGGTCCCATAGATTTCTGAGTGTCCAGATGGCGTAGTAGGTCACTATTTCCTCCTGGATTAAGGGGGGTATGTTCTGCTCTTCATCCTTACCTTCCAGCTCAGGGGGTGGAGTACCCTGAGGGTAACTGGTGTCCCTGTTCAAGACTGAGGCAAAGAAGGCATTAAGTACCTTGGCCTTTTCCTCATCTCTGGATGCTACGTTCCCTTGTCACACCCCTACTGGTAACAGTGCCCCTGTCACACCCATACACCTAACAGTTCTCCTGTCACGCCCATACTGGTCCAAGTGCTGTCACTGCTACCAGGGCCCCTCTCACACCTGTACCAATACCAGCACCAGCACTGGGACCAGCACCCTTGTCACGCCCATGGTGGTACCAGCACTGGAACTTGTACAAGCACCCGTCACACCCATACCGGTAGCAGCATCTCATCACACCAAGCCTGTACAGTGCCCCTGTCATGCTCATACTGCTACCAGCGCCAGCACTGGTACCAGCGATCCTGTCACACCCTTAGTGGCACCAGCACCTCATGAGACGCATACTGGTACCAGCACCCCTGTCACACCCATAACATTACCAGCATTGGCACCAGTAACAATGCCCCTGTCAGGCCCATACCAGTACCAGCACCGGCACTGGTACCAGCACCTGTCATACCCCTACTGATACCAGCGTTCCTACCATGCTGAAACTGCTACCAGCGCCTCATCACACCCATGCCAATACAAGAACTTGCACTGGTAGCAGCGCCCATGTCATGCCCATGCCGGTACCAGTACTGGCACTGCTACCAGTGCTCCTGTCACACCCATGCCGGTACCAGTACTGGCACTGCTACCAGTGCTCCTGTCACACCCATACTGGTACCAGCTTCAGTACCGCAAGCAGCATCCCTATCACAACCATACCAGTACCAGCACAGGCACTGATACCAGTGCTCCTGTCATGTCCACACCAGTACCAGCACCAGGACTGGTACCAGACGCCTGTCACACCCACATCAGTAGTAGCACCAGCACTGGTACCAGCACCCCTTTCACACCCATACTGCTACCAGCATCTCACCACACCCATACTGGTAACAGCGTCCCTGTCACACCCATACCGGTACCACCACTGGCACTGCTACCAGAACCCGTCACACCCACACCGGTACCAGCACCGGCACTGGTGCCAGTGCTCCTGTCACTCCCATAGCAGTACCCCCACTGGCACTGCTACCAGACCCCGTCACACCCACACCGGTACCAGCACCGGGCACTGGTGCCAGCAGCCCTGACACGCCCACAACACTACTACCACCAGCACTGCTACCAGCACCCCTGTCACACCCACACCGGTACCAGCACCCACACTGGTACCAGTGCTCCTGTCACTCCCATAGCAGTACCAGCACCCGCACTGGTACCAGCACCGTTGTCACTCCCATAGTGGTACCAGCACCTGCACTGATACCAGCACCCCTGCCACTTCCATACTGGTACCAGCACCGACACCAGCACCAGCGTCCCTCTCACGCCCATACCGGTACCAGCACCCCGTCACGCCCATACCGGTACCAGCACCAGCACTGGTACTACCACCCCTGTCACACCCATTCCAGTACCAGCACCGACACCAGCACCAGTGTCCCTGTCACATCCATACCAGTACCAGCACCCGCACTGGTACCAGCACCCCTGTCACACCCATACTGGTACCAGCACCGGCACTGGTGCCAGCAGCCCTGTCACACCCACACCGGTACCAGCACCGGCACTGGTGCCAGCAGCCCTGTCACACCCACACCGGTACCAGCACCGGCACTGGTGCCAGCAGCCCTGTCACACCCACACCGGTACCAGCACCGGCACTGGTACCAGCACCCCTTTCACACCCATACTGGTACCAGCACCGGCACTGGTACTAGCCCCCCTGCCACTTCCATACTGGTACCAGCACCGGCACTGGTGCCAGCAGCCCTGTCACACCCACACCGGTACCAGCACCGGCACTGGTACCAGTGCTCCTGTCACACCCATACCAGTACCAGCACCCGCACTGGTACTAGCACCCCTGCCACTTCCATACTGGTACCAGCACTGGTACTACCACCCCTGTCACACCCATACTGGTACCAGCACCGACACCAGCACCAGCGTCCCTCTCACACCCATCCTGGTCCCAGCACCGACCCCAGCACCAGCGTCCCTCTCACGCCCATACCGGTACCAGCACCGACAGTGCTGTCACACCAGTACCGGTACCTGTACCAGTGCCCCTATCACGCCCACACCAGTAGCCGCGATGGCACTCGTGCCCTCCGGCGCTGGAGCGGGACTGACCCGGCGATGAGGATGATGATGCGTAGCGGGTCGCGGGCGATCGTGAAGAGGAAGAGGCCGAGCGCCGGCCCGAAGGCGATGAAGGTGCACCCGAAGAAGACGGCGAGCGTCATAGCGGCGAGACCCGGGGCCCGGGGCCAGGACCCGCAGGCACCCACGGGACCGACCGGACCTACCGGACCGGACCGGACCGCCTC